TGTATGAAGTTTCTATCGAGCAAGAGGTGGTTAATCCTACCTCTATTCCTGTAATAAATCCATATAGTGCTTTTTGTAAACAATCTTTTTCTCCTACTCGTGTAATAAAATCTTTAATTAGATCTCATCCTAAAGGAGTTAATGAATATATTCAGGCATCAAAAGTTGATCAGCACCCAATTCCTGCTACCAGGAAAGAACAATTCATAACTTTACATATTCCAACTGATTTTCCTATGCAATGGAAGCAACAAGGATATACCCATATACACTTTGGAGCAATCAGGATTTCCCTATCATTTCATGGAAGGAAAGGACTTCAAGTAGTTGCTCGAGTAGCACTACTTGACACAAGATTCAAACAATACCAGCATGCTTGTATAGCAACAACAGAAACAACTCTTAATGCTGGAACTGTTTTTGTTACTCTCTTTCCTAATTTTAATATGTCCTTAGCAGATCCACATCTGCTAGATGCTCTTAAAGTGCAGGTATAAATCATAGGAGTAGAACAAGTCACAGATGCCATAGCTGCTATTCTTCACTACCAGATGGTCTATCGTGTCCAGAATCATGCACTGGATCTCACAATTCCAGGTGGTGAAAATGCTCTTCTTATCTAGGTGGATGAGAAGAACAGTGCCTCATGTACTCATGTACCAAGGCAAATTTCAAAATCAGAATTAATTCAATTATTACCAAATAGTTGGATTACTGATTATGAAAATTTGCATACTCAAGCAAATGAGCCTCTTGAGTCCTCAAACTCAAGAATATCTCAAACTTCAGAAGGGAGAACTTCTATCTCATTTGATCATTCTCATTTGAAGCCTTTGTCTTCAAAATATCACCCTTCTATTATGATTGCACCGGTACCTATGTACTATCCATCAGCATTTGAAAAGCAATGGGGAATACATGAAGATAATCCACAAAATCTTCAACAGGTTCACAGAAGTCAGGACATCATTCAATATTTTGATCAAAAAGGACTTCCAGTTTACTGGTTCCAAGATCCTATATCTGGTCACATCTTTTTTGATGTTTGTACCGATTGTGAGGAATGCCAACTCGCAAAAATTCTTGGTTACGATGCATCAGATCTAACTGACTGCCCAAAGAAACGAAGAAAACCAAGATCTGTTGACCCAGAACCAATAGAGCATAGACCTTGTGAACTAGATCTTGGTCCCCAAGATCCAGATACAGATACTTTTGTATCTGAGAGAAGTAAATTTAATGGTTATCAAATTTCTTGAGATTGGATTCCAAAATCATTCACAAAATCTTCACCTCCTTCAAAAAAGGATCTTCATCCTTATTACCAAGAATGTCTTGATATCTTGGAAAAGGAGGCAAAACAATCCAAAACAAAATGGAAACCAAAACCTTTTTGCAAACCTAAACCATTGGTCCCTGTCCATACCCCCCAAATCCAAGAATGTTTCATGTTTAGGGAAGAAGATTTTCCCAAACTAGAAACCTTCAACAAAGATGGTGCCAGACATACTCCAAAACTCCAAAATGTTGCTCCTACAGTTCTTCCAAGTGGAGAAATTGTTAGACCAAGTCCTGTAGAAGATGTTCTTAATTGGCAGACAGAAAACTCTCTTGTTCAAAATTCTCCACTTACATCTATTCACAAAGATATAACTGAGGTCAAAGGTAAGGTTGATCATATTGATACTGCTGTGAAAACTCAAAATTCTCAAGTATCTCATATGATTAATGTTTTTGAAAAAAGACTTGAAGATCTTAAATATATTATGCCTACCAGTTCATCTTCATTAGCTGAGTTTATTTTGAATAAAGAAAAGGAAACTAAATTTATTCAAAATTAGCTTCATGTTTTACGTACAACAAGAGAAGTTCCTAAATTTGATTTAGGACCAGCAACACCTCCTCCCAAGGTAAGTCCAGCCTTTGCGGCAACGCCTATCAGAAACTAGCCTACACCTTTCTACTTTGGTAATGTGACAACACCATCCCCTTCTGTTTTCTTTCCAGATCAACAGCCACAAGTTTCAAAACCTTTTGATATTGGTGAAGTTTTACGAGAATATAGCAAAAATAAACAAATTCAAAAGGATGCTGAGAAAGCAAGAAAGCTTGCTGAAAAAGAACAAAAGCAGGCTGAAGAAGAAAGAAGAAGGAAAGACAAACAGATTGCACAAGAACCACCATCTTCATTAATGTACAATGTGCATACTAATCATGTTTTCTCTCTTGAACAGGAAATTAAAGCAAATGAAGCTACAAAGGTCTATGATAATCCTCTTTCATCTATGCTACATGAATTCCATCATGAATCAGTTCCATATATTTCTACCTATGAAGAAGAACCTAATTTTTCTGAAGAATCTGATTCTATGGAAGAAGATATTTCTTCACATACTTCAGATGATACTCAAGTCAAATAAAGGAGAACGAGTGCGATAAAGTACACACTCGCCTCATCAAGTTATGTTCACGTATACAAGTTGGAAAATTTCAGTACTATACATCGAACTTAGGAAAATCAGAACTTGCACTCTGTAGGTCCAAAGTGGAAAATCTTATACCGTTGGAATCTTGTTTCAAAGTACTAAAAGTTCCTAGAAGACACTTTTCAAAGATTCTAAATGAAAGTGGCTGATCTAGTAAACACGACAGTTTCAGTCATGTTTTTCGGCAAATTTGGAAATTTGCCAAAATTCACAGAAAGTGAACTAGCCTCTGAAATTCATACCACAATAAAAATTCCAATCAAGGTTTCAAACTCAACAAACAGAACAAGATTTGGAGTTTTGAGCATCAACATATAGTAGCTCAAAGTTGGCCAAAATTGAAGACTGTTCTGTGAATTTTCCAGATTTGAAAACAAACTTTGGGATTTCAGTTGGATACCGAAATGGCCTTAGAATAACACCAAATTTGGTACATACCATATTCTATTTGAGGATTACTTCACTGTCAATTTTTACACAAAAAATCATATGGGAAGGTAGTTAACAAAACTACCAAAATTCAAGAAATTTCCCAAAGCAAATCTGTCTTTTTGGTCTTCTTTCATTTTCAAACATTTTGACCAATGAGATCAACTCCAATTAGATTCATTTTTGAAACAAAGGTCCAAGAAACATTTCATAAGTATTTGACAAGCAATGGACATCAAGATTTTCAAAACAAAACATCCCAAGTTACACTAGACCAGTCCGCTAGCAAGAAGGAAGAGTTTTTCAGATTTCCAGCTTTGCCGCAGTTTGAAAATTGAACCATATCTCACTTAATACAGCTTGAAATTGAGAATGGTCAGTGGAATTGGAAAGTAAATTCAAAATGATACATTTCATCAGAAGAAGTCGTTCTGAAAATCAGTTCGTAGGTAGTTCGAATTCAAGTGACAAATCGCAGCTTCTCACTGCCATTCGAACAGAACAAGAAACTTTGGTGAATCACTACGGATCACTCAATTCGAACTAGATGGTGCATTTTATACCGTTGGAAAGCTACAAATGTCTAGTTTTAAATGCCACAAACTATACTCAATTTTGACATCTGTACAAAGATATATGTTCGATTAAAGTGACACTATTCAGATGCCCTGAACACGTTTTCCAGATTTCTTCATGTTTTGAAAATTTGGATTTTGCTCAATCAATTCAAATGATTTTTGGTAGAAACTTCCTACACACCATAAACAACATATATACATCAGTCTCACAGCAAAACAACCCACAAAAATTCGAAAGATAGGTACGAAAAGCATTGGACAGATTCGGCCAGTTCTAGTTTCTCTCTTTTCTCAATTTTCTCTCCATTTCCAACCGTAGTTCCTCACATTTAACACATAAACAACACAAACCAAGCATTTAATCCTCAAGGCAGCTACCTAGAGTTCACCCCAAGTCAGCTAGCCTAGGAATAAAAGCGAAAAATTAAACACCTCAAGTCCGCTAGCCTAATCCATGCTTAGGGTAGTAAACCCTTGCAATCAAGCTCCAACTTTGAAGAAAAATGGAAGGATTCATGGGGATGAAAGCTACCTCTTGAGCTCTTGAAAAACCAAAAATTTTAGTCACCAAAGCTCCAAGAAAAACCACAAGAAGGAGCTTTTCACCAAGCTTAAGTTGCTCTCCAAGTTATATGGAAGTTGTGTGATGATTTGTGAAGGATTTGGAGTAAGAATTTGCAAGATTGAGTGAAGCTTTTTCCATTCCTCTTCCCTTGAAGGTTGGCCGGCCAAGATGATATAGAAAAGAGAGGTTTGTTGTGTGGTGAATCTTCTTGAAGAAGCTTGAGGGTTTTGTGACCAAATTCCTACAAAAGTCAACTGAGATTAGTGCTCGCGCGTGTCCGTTTTCTCTCGGGTTTGTTTTACTTGTGCACTAAACCTCTAATGTAATTGCTTTAACACTATAATTATTCACTCTTAGTAGTCTAGTATAAGTTTCTTAAATCTCCATTTACCCGAACTTCCGATTCGCGCGCGATAAAGCGAAACTTACAAGAAATTTATGTAACGGTGATATAATTAACTAACTCTAAGGTAAATAATTATAAAAATAACTATTTTAAGAATAAACATGAGTCCTCAAATCTCCAAGATGATTGTACTCTCGAATTGAATTTTGCCTCAAAAAACGTGTACTTATTATTCCTTACTAAACGAGCCTCCGAAAAATTAAATTTGCTTATGGGACGTTTTAAAAATGTAAGTGAGACATTGTTTCATGTAAATGGGTTTAAAATGGTTGAAATAAATTATTCGGAGAAAACGTGTGAATAAATATTTAAATAAGCCAGTAAAATACGATAAAAATAAGAAATTTTTTTTTTCGGGTCCTCACATCCTCCCCTCGTTAAAAAGAATTTCGTCCTCGAAATTTGCACTTAGGATAATATCATACCCCTTAATAGTCATGTTTATCAGATCAATCAATAACTTACACTCTCCAACCCTTATCTCATAATTTCTATTCACCTAATTAGCAGTCAAACTTTGATTCTATCTCACGAATCTAGGGTTTTGCAAAAGAGTTTGTCGCACTAGGGTCACTTAGAACCTTAGATAAACAATGAAAAGCAAGAATTGTACCTTCAATGACCTTAGCGGGATCGGAAACCTGTTGATAGCCAAATGTATAAATCCTAGCTGGCGCTTTAGGTCGACTGCCTTCAGCACTAGATTGTTTAGATACCGACTCGTCTGGGCGTTGGGCACTACCTCCTTCCTTCGGTATACTCGAACAGTTCGCAATCTGATGTTCAGTGCTGACACAATACAAATACTTTCCCGATTTCTTCCAGCACTCATTCTCTGTATGGTTAGGCTTACGACAATAACCACAATTAACTTGAGGAGTTACAGCCTGACCACTTGAAGGTGTCTCCCTCGGTTGCTCTCGTCCATTGTGGACTCCTCTTGATTGAGTCCTTTTTGGTGTACTAGATGTCTCTACACCCTTATCTGCTTGTCCAGGAGGATGACTAGGGGTGCCCCTTTTCTTGGCATGAAAATCCTTAACTTTCAACCTTGCACTTTCGGCTCTCTGCGCCTTCTCTAGGGCATCGGTTAAAGTAGGGATCTGGGCTGCTGCTAACCTCTCTTGAATCTCCACGTTAAATCCCTGTACAAATTGCCTTATCCTTCTCCTCTCAGTGGCTACCAATTCTGGGGCGTACCTAGAAAACATAGTGAATTTCCCCTTATACTCAACTACGCTAGACGCCCCCTGCTTCACTTTTATGAATTCGTCCTCCTGTTTCTCTTGAACCAAGGGCGAGAGAAACTTCTCATTAAACTCTCTTAAAGGGTTTTCCCAGGTCCAAGGGGTTTTGTACTCTTTCCCATTTTCCCATTATCACATCCCACCAAGCGAGTGCTGCACCCTCAAACTGAAAGACAGCAAAAGTCACTCGCCTCTCCACCGCATAATCTAGGGCGGCGAAAATGTTGGTCATTCTTTCTAGCCAATTCTCCGCTAACTCGGGGTCAGATCCTCCAATAAACTTAGGCGGATTAAATTTTAAAAATGTCTCCAAGGCTCTATCTTCCCCTCTATCCTGGGTCCCGGGTTGGTTAAGTGGCCCTGGTCCCTGTCTCTCAGCTAATCGTTCGTGGATATCAGTCATCCCATTAATGGCAGTAGCCACTTGGTTACCCTCTACATTTTCTTGTCCTTGGGTCGGTCCAGTTGCCGATCCTTGTTCATCCCCTTGAGGTTGGTTTTACCTAGTCCCTCGCCCACGATCTCTACCACTCCTTCGGCCGTCCATGATCTTGGTTATGCCTAGTGCAAGAAATAAGAAAATACTTGATACACAAGCCAACTTGAAAACGTCAGAAATAGCAATAATTAACAAGTATTTAAACTTTAAAGTTCATGCAATTAGCAAGTCATGGGGCATTTACAAAAATATAGCATACAGGTGTCAAAGAGATGCAATTAGTCAGACACGACAAAAGTAGAGTTCAGGTGCCTCAAAAGTAGGCCACACAGTCAAGCAAAATACAATGACCTCAGAACTAGTATCACCCCGGCTAATCTCAGCTATACCAATCAAAAGAGTTATCACTCCTAGTCTAATTCTCAGTGGGACTATCAGGCGAAACCTCCTCCTCATGGTCCTCCTCAGTGCCCTCCTGAACCGAACTCCGCACAGTATCCATCACCTCATCAATCAACATAGAGGTATCAGCTAGAATCCCAGAAGCCCGATTAGTGAGTCGAGTTCTAACCCTCCGAACCTCATCACGTGCGGCCTTAGCTCTAGCCCTCTCGTCTACCATCATCCCCTCGAGCTCAACAATTCTAGCACCCTGAGGATCCACCATGGTGCTCAACTCCTCAACCTCCTAAAATAAAGATCTGTTGGTATTCACCAGCTAATGACGCTCGTCGTCGAGGGATAGTACGAGGTTATTAGGGTAAGCGTATGTCACCCTACAGGTACATCGAGGTAATCTAGTAGAAGGCGAGTAATGCACACGAGTTCTTTCACCAAGAGTTCGATAATAAATAGGTCTAAGAGGCTCTACATGGCCATTGGCATGACCGTTACCATTAGCGGCATGTCCATTTCCATTATTCATCGCTGCAAAACAACCACAATTTCCAGGTTAGAAATTTAAAGTTACTGACTCGCTTAAACATGACTTAAGGTGTAACTAAATTATCTAATCCCGATTCTCAAGTGTAAAGCCTCTAAGATATCTCCCCAAATAAATCTCTAAACCTAGGCTCTTTGCCACCAAATGCCATTTAAGAAACTCTTAAGTACTATTTCTCTTTTACCACCGGAATACAATAGGTTAATATTCAAGTGAATCCCACGGTCCGGTATCCTAAATTTTTAGCCTAAGATACAGTACAAAGATTTGAAACCCAGGCTTTGATACCAACTGTGACGCCCCCGCTTCTCCCAAGGGCGATTCCAAGGGTATCTGCGGAACGCCTGCACAGCTCTCGTTAGGACTCGGTGCGATTTCCGTTCAAGCTTAATACAATAATAACTAATAATACCAAACGACGTAAGAAAGGAAGTCACTACCATACATAGATATTCAATCTTACATTACAAGTTTCAAAATACATCCACTTTCCCAAAATAGACAACTTCCATAAGATGTCTAGTCAAGTACATTTTCAAAATTCTAGTCAAAAGAGACATCAAGTAGGCTTTTCCATAATTCCTTCCATTCCACCTCCTATTAAGGAAAACAAATCTAACGGAGTGAGCGGATACTCGTGAGGCCAAGAAAAAAAAAACGAAACATTCACATGCGAACCCATAGTTCAAGTAACAAGTAACAATAACATATGTACAAGAATTAGAGCCAGAAAGTTCAAGTAATTCACAATTTATAATATAACACACTTGTTAAGAATACGGGAGCTCTCAGGAGCTAATTTTCACTTGCTTCGTCAAGGCTTGATCTGATACCCTCTCATGATGACACTCCGTAATCCGAGTAGGTATTGAATCCATAGAAACTTCACTTACTACTTCCTTCATCCACCATTCCACTCTCTCGAATTCGTAACTAAACATGCACGAAAAGGGCGATACTACACGAGTATGCCGAACAAGATCTTAAAAGATCAAGTTTTGTTTTTAAGAACACGCACAAAAAGGACGATACTCCACGAGTATGCCGAACAAGATATCAAAAGATCAAGTTTTGTTTTGTAATATTCTCATAGTTCATCAAGTTTCTCGACCAAGCCCATGCTGGCTCGAGTCGCAAGATTGGCCAATGAGATTTGGGCATCCCCTATGAGTACACGTATAATAGTCGACGAGATTTACTCCTATCGACATACAAGTCATATTCACATATAATACACGTATAAGTCAAATAAAGGAGAACGAGTGCGATAAAGTACACACTCGCCTCATCAAGTTTTGTTCACGTATACAAGTAAGATTAATCAAGTAAACACGACAAATCATCCACTTGACACTCACCGATTCAAAATAAGTGAGCAAATAAAGCTTTAAGTATCCACACCGAGATTCCCTTTGAAATCTCTTTGAGCGCTTGAACAATTAATAAGTATTTCTCACTCACAATCACGTATTAATCAGGAAAGAAGGTACACTCATTTAGACTAGTCAATACCTCAAACAAAGAACCTTAACCACTCAAATAAAGGTTCAAAAGTGATGATTTATTAATATAAGAAAAACTGATTTCCTTCATGAAATTGAGTTTAAAACAATCAATCATTATCAAAGGGTAGAGAAAAGTTTCCTAAAACTCATTTCTCATCAAGTTGGAAAATTTCAATTTTATACATCGAACTTAGGAAAACCAGAACTTGTACTCTATAGGTCCAAAATGGAAAATCTTTGATGCAGTCATCCAAGCTACTACCAAGAACGTGGTGATACCAACCGGACCAATCACTAGAGCTCATGCCAAGCGAATGAGGGAGCAATTGAATATCTTGATACGTGTGGTACAAGAAGCTAAGGAAGGTAGTTCGATCTTTGAAGACGGTTCGGAGTACGTGACTCTACTCCAACTAGAGGATCAAGACCCTTAATGCAAGGCACTTCGAGTCACAAGATCCATCAAGTTCAAGTTAATTAGTTTTTTCGTTTCAATTAGTAGAATAAAACAAGTGACTTAATTGTTGTAGTCCTTGCCATTTTTAGTCATTCGTTACCTTATTTTAGCTATTAGTTTCAGCCATATTCCCTTGTTGGGTTCGGCACGATGGGCCATAGTTGGGCCGAATTCTAGTTTCCAAGTTTCATTAGGGTTTAAGTTGTGAGAAGCTATAAATAAGCTTCAAACCTACAACACCGATCAGATTTGGATTCATTAGTAAAATTGAGAGAATTCTCTTGGCTTCTTGCGAGCACCCCTTGAACATCTTAGATAGTTTTCTAGGAAGTTCAACTTGGCTTATCAAACAAGAAAAGCATTTGTTTGTGGCGCCATCCTACCAAAGTTCCTTGGTTCGCTAATTCGTTAAGTCGCGGGTTGAGATCGTATCAAGAGTGTTCGCAACTTAGAGGGTTAGATTGGGTCGAAAGGAATTCCGCCAACCAAACCTGGAAAATTTCCGTCAAGATCGTGGGAATTTGCAAGGATGAACTTCACCACCGTGGAGGGATTCACATCAGTTGGCATCAGAGCTAGTTGATGGTTTTCCAGGTTATATATTCTTAATTCCAGCCTTTGTGTCATGTCTTCAATTCGTAGTTGTGTCTTGCCTTGTTTATTATTCAGTTAATCCAGCCCAAAAAAAACAAAAACAAAAACTGCTAGTGTTCTTAGTTTGTCGCGTCCTTATTGTGTGACACCCCAGCTTTTAGGATACTATTGTTGTTTAATCTCAAAAAAAAAAAAAAACATATTACGCTTCCTTTAGTTTAGTTTTATTTTAAGACATTGTTTTGTTTTAAAGACTAGAAACCCTAAAGTCTAATCAAAACCCTAGTTTCATTTGTGACTGACCGTTTTCTCAAATTTCTCAAATTTCAACCGAAACCCTAAATTCAATTTATGGAATTGTAAAATCCCTCACGTTTTCTTAAAAATACCCTTTTATTTGGAACTTATGATTTTATAATAGCCCTACCACCCAATCACCCCATAATAAGTGCAAATGAACCTAGAAAGTAGGGTTTCACTTTTCGTTTTCAAGTTAGCGCGAATTAGGGTTTTCACGTTTTTCCGTAGTGTGACTATTTGGTACGGAGTGAGGATCAAATTTGGTAGGTAAGAGTGAATTTTGGATTAGGAAATATTATATGATTTGAAGTGATAATAATAAGTTAGTGATTAGAAGGTAAAAACCCTAGTATACGTGATTTAAGAAAAATCGGCTCGAACCGACGGATATCGATCATTACCGATTGAACCCACCACTTCCCTACCACCACATACCCTTGATATTTTTGCAAAATATCCCCCTCATCCTCAGCCATATAACCAAAATATGAGGCCAAAATCCAAGGAAAAGAAAACAAAATTTTAGTTGGTTTTGGTGATGACAAGTGTCAACCAACTATGGTCCCTTGACCAACCCTTTTGTCTTGCCTTCTTATCTCTCATTTCAGCTCATTTCCCTTATTTTCTTTCTGTTTTGGCTGAGAGCAAGGAGAGGCAAAAGAGTGAGGAGAGTTTTCAATCTTCTACCTTGAATCCAACCTTTTGAGTGCAACCAAGAAAAACTAAACCGATTAATCACTAGTTTGGAAGCTTGGGAAGCTTAAGGAACCAAAAAATTTCAAGAAGAGATGGAGGATCATTCTTGCAAGCTCTTGTCTTGAGGTATAATGGCTGATCAACCTTTCTTTCCCCATTAATCATGATTAATTTGGGTATTAATGGTAGTATTGTTCTTGTGATGTTTGTTTCAAGTGATTTTGATGATTAGATGGATGGCTCTTGAGTTAGGGTTTCTTGTGGGTTAGGAGTTGTATGATATATATATGTGGTATATAATCTTGTAAAGGAGATAGTAGTGGTAATTTCAAGATAAAAATGAGAAGTATAGCTTGAATATAGCAAAATTCTAGATTTCTGGAAATTGTAGCTTCAGTTCTGTCGGGTTCTATTTCATCATGTTAGATGCCGAACTAGGCTTAGTACAAAACATGAAAGTTGTAGATAA